TTACAAAAAAAAAAAATATGGACAAAAGAAGAATCTTTAAAAAAACAAAAACAAAAATCTTACGTCTAAAAAAAATTTATTAAATAGGCAAGTTTAAATAAATAAAAATTATTTTTGATGCTTTTTCTTATTTTTTAAACGACTAACTACTTGCCACTCTTCAACGTCACTTGTAGCACTATCAGAACAGTCGTTCCCTCCACGCCATGCAAAAGTATTTCCATTGCGATGATGATACTTTTGGTGTCTTTGCTTACCAACAACACTTTCACCAACATTAATACTATCACTACCATTAATAACACTATTATTATTACTACCACCACTACTATTACCGCCGTTACTACTAACATTAAGATTTATACCGCCTATCAATTCTTGCAATTCACCTTGTTCACTATTTTCATCCACTTTATACTTTCCCACTTTACCCTCTTCGTCAAGCTCTTCCTTTTCCTCCTCATTTCCATCTTCGTTAATATCTGATCCTTCTTCAACCACCACAAACCCTTTTTGTCTCTCGCGTTCATTCCAACGTAAACAACGTGAAATCGAATTGAACCAATCATTGGATTGTGATTCAAGGCATACAGTTGGAAATGGAAACTTTGATGGAGTGACTTTAATATGATCTCCCTCTATTAATAACATCAATCATTATATGATCGTCATTTTAATTCCCTCCCCCCAATATTAAATAATAATACAACTTACGTTTCAACTCAACTCTACCCCTTCCATCAAAACTTGCCCATGCCGTACTACGACTATTGTATGGTACACAGATTCGCAACTCTAATGAATCTGGCAAAAGCATAGGTCGAAATGATAATGTATGCGGACATATGGGCGTGATCAAAAGTGCTGGAATCCCTGGATGAACAAGCGAACCACCGGCCGAAACCGAATAAGCAGTAGATCCTGTGGGTGTGGAAACTACCAACCCATCGGCTTGAACTGTCGTTAAATGTTGATTATCACCAAATAATTCCAACAAGCTCATATACGGTCCAGCTCCACGATCCACCACCAAATCATTTAAAACCTCAAATGATTCTGACGGATGTGTAATCAAACAAGGCAAATCTTTGTCCATTGAACACTGATGATGTTCACTATGATTATGATTCTCCACGTCCGCCCAATTGGATTTGCCATTTATTATATGCTGCATCATTATCTCACCTGTCTCAGTGCATCTTTTAGCTTTTATTTGATGTTCTGAATTTTGAACTCGGCGATATACTGTACAGGTGAATCTCATTCGTAAGTTTACTCGTATCCCTTTTTCCATCGAATTCGTCAGATGTTTTTTATAATCTTTAAAGTCAAAATTTGTTAAAAATCCTAAAGATCCTAAATGAAAAGCTAACACTGGCGGAACAACTTTTTGAAATAACCACGAAGTATACAAAACTGTTCCGTCACCACCAAGCTAAATATAATTTTATTATTAAATAACATAAAAAGATTGATTTAATTACATACTAATAATAAATCTAAAATCCTTACTGTTAACACTAAATTAAAAATCTCAGGACTAGCGGCACACAATTCTGGTGTCCAGAACTTCAAATGACTTCCAATAATCGATGAACCGTTAATCAATCCTTTATAATCAAACTTCTTTGAACTTTTTAATGATATGTCTACGTAAACAATGACTCCGTGACTTTTACCAAACCTAGGCGTAGTAATCAAAGATATCACTAATTCTTTTGTCAGAGCGATTAATTTCGAATCACCAGGTTTTGTCACAATCAATACAGTTTCCACGACACTTTGTATGCGTGCTTGTCCCAATTTTTTAGATATTTCTCGCACTTCAACGGCAGTTTCTGCCAATTCTGAATAATCTGTTGGTTCTTTATTGTCACATATGTTAACAATCTCTGATAAAGATTTTGATAATAATGTTGGATCAATATGTGAATGTACAAAACATGGTGATTTGGGTGTTGTTATGGTTAGTTGTGAATGTGGTGATGTTGGTGCTTTTGCGCCTAATAGATGATCATTTGATAGAAGTTGTAATTTTGGCTTTTGATTCTTAATGTTATTATTTGTTTTTTTAAAATTGCCCCTACCATTGTTACTGTTGTTGTTGTTGCTGCCACTATTGTTGTTAACAGTAGTGGTATTGTTATTATTATTATTATCGTTAATTATTACACTATTTTTATTCATTTTTACTTTATCACTTACACATACAAGGAACAATAAAATCGATTTTTTTGGTCTGTCGCACCACGTTTTTATTTTGATTGGTCAAAATAATTTATTAAATCCCTTAAACGGTTAATCGGCTATTGGTAGCCGATAAAATTATACGAAAATAAAAATGTTCTTTTGAGATTTAGCCGATTAATCTACGGTGCAGATCATCTATAATTGCATATGGTAACACGAAAATTAATGTTGCATAACTTTCAAATTTAAAAGGAAATGAGACAAATTTTTTTTTTTTAGATTAATAGACCCCCTTTTTTAAAGCTGAATTGAATGGTGGTAGGTTTTTTTTTAAAAATCCAATGTGTAGATCACATAATATTTCAAAAATTTTAACTTTTGAGTATAGATGATCCGCACTGTATAAATAAAAATCTGGTTGTTGTCCTTGTGGTTTTGTAAAAGTTGGTCGATTACTTTGCTGATCGTTAAATTGACCAATAAGAATGATCAAAACTAATTTGTGTTACATTCCGACTGTTCAAGAGATAAGTAATTTCTTTATTTTCTATATAATTTCTCAAATTGTTTAGCACATTGATTAATTGGGATATTCTCTCTTAGTGAACGATTAATGTGCTAAGAAGGATATTTAATAAATAAAAAAACGATCACGATCTAGCAGCAAAGATGAGATGTGTTTGCAACAATATCAGACATGTTTGCAACCAATTGAGATGAATTATATCAAAAAGAAGCGTATTTGATGAGCTTGCAACCAATTAAAATACATTTGAGTTTCGACATCCTTCAGGTTCGAGTTAGAAGTTTGTTCAACATCAGCGTGAGGTTTTTCTTCGTCGAAAATTGGCTTCACATTAACTACTTTCTTTTAATTTTCTGCTGAGCAGATTATGTTGATATTAGGCTGAAGATTGTGATCTTGCTTATTAACAGTGAACGCATGAAATGATTTGCGACCATAGAGCTTGTATATCGGTTTTTCGATTTCTTTTACATCATCGGATAATAAAAATCTATGGTAAATAATTCCCCAAAATGGACTTTATGTAAACCATTCTGCTCAAATTGTTCCAATAATTGGAATTGTCCGTTTTTTAGGATTTTATTTAAGATATCCATGATTCACATTGAGTGTCGATCACCATTACATTGTAAGTATATTCCTTTACTTTTTTCGATCACGGCGCATTTTCGAAGCCAATGGATTATTATAAACTTCAATGCTCCATTAGCTGTGACAATTCATCTTCAGCGTGACCAACTTCAACACGTATAGGTGTGGACAGAATGAATCATATGAATACACCAAACTTTCTTTTCCATCCGTAATTCGTGCAGATTTATCCATCAAAACAACATTGAAAAGCCTTCCTTGACCACGATTATTGGATCAGGTATAAATCCTTGATTTAAGAACTACATATGCTTTAATGTTTTATTCTAAACAAATAATAAAATAAAACAATACATAGCTCTAATGATTAATATTCTCAAAAAATAATTAATATACATACACAGAATAATAAGAGAAATCAATGTCTTTGATTTCTAATGTATCTGAAGAAGGTGCTGTTGATGATTGAGATGGTGATGATTGTTCTGTGACAAGTTGATGTTTTTGGATTCATAGATGTCATTACATCCAGTACATTTAATAAATATGGTTAGTGATAATACTATTTGCTTGCAATATTTGATTTTTGATACATAAACATAGTTTGTAAAATAAACTGTTTGCAAACAATTGTTACGGGTTGCAATAGTAAATGGTATTCTTCGTTTATCTATTAATCGTTGTTGGACATGTGATCCAACCAAATAAGAAACTTTAGATAACTGATTCTACGTGTCCATGAAGAATTTAAATTAAATATAATAATATAATAATAAAACAAGAAATTATTGTTATTATCATTATTATTATTTACGTTTCTGTAATTTTCATTTTCGTAGATTTGAGTTATTGAAAATAAAATCGAACAAATTGATAAATGTAGAGATACCGATGATGGTAGTAAAAGTAACATGGTAGTGCGTGGTAGAGAGAGTGGTGGTGGTGGTGGTAATAACTTGTAGGAAAAATCCCCTTTAACATAATAATAATAATGCTTTTTAAGTAACATCATTACTTGTTAGAATAACCAATCGTCATTTGCTATAATTATTATTATTGTTAAAATTAAAATAAAGTAATATACTTTTCATTATGTGCAATACAGTGGTCGTTTGGGTAGTAATGTGTATGTGGTACGATGTATGAATGAAGAAATCCATGAATTGTTTCGGTAAGGAAAGGTTTAATTTTCAATGATGATGATGGTGGTGATGGTGGTAGTGGTGGTGGTGGTAGAATATTCAATTTTGAAACCACCACGAGATATAACCTTGCGACCGACCGATCCGTTTCGTAGCCGATAACTGCACACAATTTGAAGAATAACAATATAAACTGACTCGTATGTAGTATTCAATAATTTCACAAATCTTCATTTTTTGTTTTTGAAAAAAAAAAATCAAAAAGACACCAAATTCCATAATCAATAAGCAACAATATATTTATAAGGGTTAAAAATCTTGAGAATAAAAAAAAGGAAAGGATAAAAATAAATCTGAAAGAATTAACTAAATATATATTGTCTATTTAATCATTGGTAACTCAAGAATGATAATTGAAAAAATAGAATATAAAAAAAACCGTTACATGGTAAGTAATACCATATAAAACACAGCATCTCTCTTTCACTTCTTAAAAATATTCCTTTTTTTTAAATAGTGATTTTATTTTTATTTACGAAACTTTTAAAAGGTTAATCTTTTTGTGGAGGAGATGGAGATGGAGGAGATGAAGCAATCTGACCGTTTGGAGATGAAAATTCTTCCTTTATAGGTGCTGGTGGTGGTGAACGTGACGCACTCCTCATTTCAGCATCCTTTGGTGGTGGCGTTGATGTTGACATTTCATTTTTAACTTCAATTTTTTCATCACCATTTGTTGTTGTTATATCTTTTGCTGGTGATCTAGAACGGGTACGACTTCTACGCGCAACAGAGGACCGGGCACGATCTCTTGTACGAGAACGTGATCTTGAAGGAGAACGTGTTTTAGATTTTGACCTGTTTCTACTGAGTGGTGTACGAGAACGAGAACGTGAACGTGAGCGAGAACGTGAGCGAGAAAGAGATCTATGTCTTCTGGTACGTGATGGCGGGGTTATGGAACGACGACGACGAGGAGGTGAATTTCTGCTGCTACTTTCATAACGCCAAGATCTAGATGGTGCATTTTTTGCCCACTAAATAAAACAATATTGATTTAAAAGAATGATTTAATCAATCAAATATTTATCTTATATGTTTATATATAATTAATATATAATAAGTATTATTTTAAAACCTGAATATTTAAAGTATATCCATAAATTCTACGACTGTGCATTTCATAATAAGCATCCTCAGCATCTCTTTCATCTTCAAATTCAACAAATGCATATCTTTTTTTGTAAACATGATATTCATAAAAAAAATAATTCTCTAGAATTAAAAATTATTTCTTTCAACATATATTATATATAAAAATTAATTAATCAATATTTACGGCTTAGATTGATAACTTCTCGGAGCAGGAATGTCACATCGGATCAAACGTCCATATCTGCATTAATATATATATATATATATATATATATATGAATAAAAATTAATAACTTGTAAAGTTTTCTTAAAATACTAAATAATAGAATGACAAAGTGTTTAATCGTTTCATAATACCTTTCAAACTCATATGCCAAATCTCTTGCACGTATTTGAGAGCCAAAGCCAGCTACAAACAAGGTTGTTCTTCGACTACTCATCTAGAGAAATTTATTATTTATGTATATATATAAAATCTAGAGCTATTTTTCTATTATTAAAAGTGTTTTATATTATTGAAACTCGGTATTATTTAATATCACTATTATTATCTCACAAAATATTTATTTATTGTTGAAGAACTTCTTCACTTTCTTGATATAGAGGATATAGAGATGTTAAAAAAGTGAAATCATGCAAAAAATCCTGACCAATTAAATATATAAATCCACGTTTAATCTTTTAAAATGATTGTCACACGATTGTATACTAAAAGTGGAAGATTTTATAATGAGTATACATAAATGGTAGAATCGAATAAAATAGAAAAATTACGCGTAACTTGGTGAAAAAAATTTTTTTTTACTTGAAGAAATAATTTAATATAATAATATGACAACACATCGCCGACATTCTTTTTCTTCTTCCTTATCTTATGAAACAGATGAAATCGATGAATTTAATGAATTTAATGGTTGGTTCAAACATTATAATTATTTTTCTAAATTCAAATCAAATAATCAAATATTTATACATGTGTATAGATTATTCTGGATTGATAGAGGAAAAGATAATGAATGAAGAATATAAGATCTGGAAAAAGAACTCTTCGTATTTATATGATTTGCTTATCGCAGATACACTTGAGAGTACTTTGTTTACGTGCCAGTGGTTTAAAGATTTTTATAGGTGAGTGTTTATATGGTATTATTTAATTATTGCCTGTCTATTTGGAAAAAACATAATTAAATATAATTTTTGCGTGTAAAGAGGCGAAGACTACAGAATGCAAAGAATATTGATGGGCGTACACCTAAAAAACGATCAACAAAACTATATTCAGATTGGTGCTGTAGAATTACCATTAAATGGCGCAACTATTATGAGTAAAAGAAGTGAAGAAGGTATCTATATTATATATGCGTTTGAATATAATAAAAGTGTATATACTACATCCAAATTCATCTACACACCTACATATATATATATATATATATGACTGCAAATATATTTGTAATCAATAATTTTATATAGGTATAAATGGAAGTTATGATTATAACTATGGAATATTTAAGAATGAATGGATTGAAAATGATGACGGGGATGTACCTAATTGTAAAAGATTATCGATTGTTCAAATGATAAAACATGATGGAGCAATAAATAGGGCAAGATACAATCCTAAAGACCAAAACATTATTGCCACCAAGTCAGAATATAAAAATGTTTATATATTTGATAGAGCAAAACATCCCGATAAACCTGCTAATACCAGTAGTTCATGTCGACCAGAATTAACATTAAATGGTCACACAGAACAAGGGTTAATATTTAGGTTTTTAGATTTTTTTTAAAAAAAAAAAGGAATTTATTAAATGAAAATTTGTGATTAATATATAGACATGGATTATCATGGAATTCATTTAAAAATGGACATATTATTGACTCATCTAAAGATATGACAATTTGTTATTGGTTTGTACCTAATCTTTTAAATTGTATAAATAAATATTCACATAATAACAATAATTAATTATAATAACAATTATCATTATTATTGCTATAATATTCTCAAGGGATATTTCTGGCAATAGTAATGGAAATATGATGGAACCATTGCGTATATTTAAAGGACCCAAATCATGCATCCAGGTAATTAATTGATTAATCATTAATATCTAATGATAAAAATCAAGACTCGTAATATTTGGATCTATAATTGATAATATTAATCAATTAATTAAATTAGGATGTTGAATGGCATGCTTTTAATCCAAATATGTTTGGATCTGTGGATCATGATAGAAATCTTTTGATGTACGTATATTGTTATTTTTATATCATGTTGATATTACTTTTCAAATTTAATGATAAAGAATAGACTTTTTAATAAATATATATCTCATTTTGATTGACAATTAGTTGGGATTCACGTTGTAGTTGTCCAGTAGGATCAGTCCAGGCACATGAAAAAGAACTCACAACGTTAGCATTTAATCCAATAAATGAAGTTGTATTGGTGACTGGTTCTGCTGACAAGGTGACCAAATGACTAATCAAATAAATAATATAAAACAATTAACTAGATGAGTAAATAATAAATATATGTACTAATTCTTTGAATATTTATACGCATATATATACAGAATCTTAATTTATGGGATATACGTAATCTTAAAATTAAACTGTATACACTTAAGAATCATGAATCTAATATTGTTGATGTTAAATGGTCACCACATGATGAAAATATTTTGGCATCTGCATCAGCAGACAAAAAAGTTAATCTTTGGAATATAAATAAAATAGGAGCTGAGCAAACAAGTGAAAAAGTAGAAGATGGACCTCCGGAACTGTTGGTAAGTGCTAGAGATACAATATATAGTTAATATATTAATGCCATTGTTGTTATTATTAAATATCGTTAATTGTGTAGTTTATGCATGGTGGACATATTGATAAAATTTCAGAACTAAGTTGGAATCCTCTTGTGCCACTGATGATTGCTAGTACCGCTAATAACATTATTCATATTTGGCAACCAGTAATAAAATATTATTATTATTATCTAATTGGAGTCTTCAAAATATGTATTACTAATCTTTTTATTATTCTAATGATTATTAATAGTTATTGGGAGTGCTTGAAGAAGATTCATCTGATGAATTCTATGGATAGATATAAAAAAAGGTCAAGTATAACAATTATGAATAGAATAATATTCGATATTAATAGCAATAAAAAAAAAATTTGTATAAATAGATGACGATCTTTGCAAAAAGTGTAAAAAAAAAAATCCCTTGGGAGATATGAAATGTAACACGCAATTGAAATTATATATCATCATGCGAAAAACTCTAGCGATTATTTTTTTCTTCATATTATTACTATGTTGTTGTTGTTTTTGGTATTATCAATGAATATTTACTGCCTCTTGTTTAAATCTGCTTTCGAGATGTTGATCCTCTTGTCTTCTTCCTCCACATCCTTTTGTAAACGACCGACAATTCCTAAAAAGGAAAACAAAAAAATTTTATTAATCAATTCAATAATAATAATAATAATGACAGTAGCAACATATAAATACCTTTTGGATCGTTTGAAGCAGGGGGATGTACAAGATGTTCATCGTCTTGCCATTTATCTTCTTTTGTTAGGGGTTTTCCCTCCATTGCGTCGAGTGGCAAATCTTTATCATGTCTAGGTAATGCATGAAAAACCACCGAGGAATTTGGTTCACGACCTATAGAAGTTTGTTGCTGCTGCTGCTGTCGTTGTTGTTCTCGTTCTTTTTGCTCTTTTTGTTTTCTTGATTTTATTTCTTCTTCCCAATCCTTTTCTAAATGCCCGACGATTCCTAAAAATTATAACAATAAAAACCAATTAATTCAATTATATAAATAATAATATTATAATATATAATAATACCTTTTGGATCCTTTGAAGTAGGAGGATGTACAAGATGTTCATCGTCTTGCCATTTATCTTCTTTTGCCCGGGGCTTTTCTTCCCTCAGCTCATCAAGCGGCAAATCTTTATCATGTCTAGGTGACGCATGAAAAACCACGGAGGAATTTGGGTCACGCCCTATATAAGAATAGGATGAGTTGACGTTGAATTAGTTGATTTGGAAATTACAGTTTTCATTTTATTATTTATTATTCATGATTACATACCAATTATCGGATCTTGGTTTTTTTTCCAATGAGGCATTCTTTGACAAAAAATTTTATTATTTATGATATAAAAGGTGTAAAAAATTATTAATGAAAAAAATAAATGATTTGCGTATTAATTTATACGTAAAAAATAAAATTAACGAATCTATAATTGGATTGAGTACAAAATTCTGATTGGCTAATTTGAGTTTCACGCGCAATGACAACATAATGTCGAAATGGTACATTTGATTACTTCATACTTGATATTACTATGCAACAAAGGTCCAAAAAACTAATAATAATATCCTCTTCCATATATAACATTGGTTGAGCAAAAATCAAAGTATAAATTCAGTAAGGAATTATTTTTTTCCCCTCTTGCCTTTGTTGATGCAATTTTTCCTTGGTTTGAAATTCTTACAATTGCCATTAAAATTCCAAAGTATAAATTAACAGGGCTTAGCTATCTTTTGAGGGATACAGTCAAATTCATCTCAAGCATTATTAGGTTTATTTATTGAAAAAAATATTTTTTTTAGAAAAAATTTAATTCGCAAAGATTTCACGATTGTAAAATTTTATGTGAAACGCAAAAAGATTTTTCCACGATTGTGAAAATACCTGGGGATTGTTGGGAAATGGTTAGAAAGGGTAAAGAAATTATTGTAAAAAACAGTTGTCACAGTCAAAGATTTTACAAATGCGAAACCTTTATCAAATACATTGAAATCATTGTGACAATATTACAAGACATGAAACTTGAAACTTGTTTGGATATATATAAAAATCATCCACCACGCCTCTTCCTGCATTTTTTATACCAAGGGCTGCGCATAATTTCGTCATTCTTTGTTTACTAATATGGAATTACAGATACCTTGTCAAAAATATAATTTAATAAATCTCAAGGTATTTTCACAAATCTTTGAATTTCACATAAATGAAATCTTTGTGACTTAAATTTGTCACACCAATATCATAATCCTTTAATCTCTCTTTTTTTGAATATATCTTTTATTTCTTTCAAGTAGTGATGTCGAGGTTAGTTTCGTTGTTTCTGATGTTGTTGTTATTGACGTCGTTTTCGTTTTCGTGTCATTATTGCTCGTTACAACCTCATTCCTACCTTTTGAATTTTTGTACGTAATAATCTCCCGATGCCATCTATCCAAATGATAGGCTACTATGGCCGCCAAATCCTGAGGGATAAGATGCAATGAAAAAATCAATGGGCTCTTTGTCATTTTTCAGGTTCCTGTCAAAGTCTTTATATGCGAGGCAGTTAAAGTGCTAACATGATGGTTAGTTTTTTAAATCTGAAACTTAAACTCGACATATATGAAAACCAAGTTTTGAGAAATCAATATTTTTTATTTGCGATTATTTAATAAATTTTTTCATTTACTGTTATTTCTTATAAGGGAAAACTTTTTTAACCTATTTATTTATGTATTTAAAAAAGAAAATTATCAAGAACTCATTTTTTACATACGTATATAGTAATAGTAATTTTACGTCTGCTAATCAAAATATATAAAAACTTGCTGAAGGTTGAGTTTAATTCAAAGCGCGATGAATTTCCGTATTATGCAAAGCGTGATGAGCTTCCGGATTGAGGAGTTTCTGTATTACCCAAAGCGCAATGAATTCGCGTATTATATTCGTGACATTGATATCGTACCTTTTCCCAACGTTTCTTGATATTATAAAGAAACAAGAAAATCGAGTTTATTATTGATGTTTATACAAAATATTTATATAAAATGACTAATATTTATTTACCTTTAATACCACTTTTATCAAACCAAACTTGGTGGGATCAGATTGAAATTTTGCGATGATATCATTGATCATAGCCTCTTCTTCTTTCCAGTAAATCTCGAGTGTAGAAACCTTACCGACTATTTGCAAAACATTTCTGATCAATGAATCTATATTTTCATCTCTATCATATAGATTCACATCAATTTGACGTATCTCTTCTTTCAATTTTTCCGCTTTTTCGTTTAATAGAAATGAACTAATTGCGCAATAAATTGCAACAATAGCAACTATAAATAATATAACAAATATTTGCGGTATTGTACATCCGGGATAGAAAAAAACGAGAACAAGCGTTCCAAAGGTTATGGATTGATTCGAAAAATAATTAGATTTATCGGTTATTTCTCTCAATTCATTTACTTTCACCGGCTTTAATTTTTGATTTAACAAAATCTTCACATTATGCTTCTGGATTTCATTATAGATATCCGATAACTTTGTTCTTGTATTTTCATAAGAGTTGGTCAATTTTTCTGCATCTGCCTTGTTAATTCGCGCGTCCTCCAAAAGCGTATTTAAAGTATAAGCGATGTCATCAGCTCCGTACTCTGGGTTTTCAAGAGTTTCCAAAAATATAAACACATCGCCGGCACGATGGTAAAGTCTTGAACTCAGGCTTAATGATTTTTGTAAGTTTGAATGAAATTCAGAACGTTGGACACTAAGTTGATCGATTTTTTGCGCCAAACACAAGTTCTTTGCGCTGAACTCAGAGCAATTCTTGAAAAGCGCAATCGCCTTATTTACAGCTGCGATAGTCGCACTTAGTTCTAATTCTGTTACTCGAGGCACTTCTTGGAACATACTTTCGTTATTATTATCAAATAAATTTATCAATGGTCAAGAATTTAAACTTTTTTTTATATTATTTTGGTATTTTAATTATCACCAATGACAATGAACTTGTTAGTGCAATTGACATTTCTACCTTTTTTGGGTAAGTGCGGGCGATTGAACTGGATTTATAATTTTTTGGACGATCTCAAAATTTATTATTAGTTATCGTTAAAATATGATACAAGAATTTAAGTGCTATGTTAGTTATTTTTTACTAAATACTTAACAGCGTCCTGAGTCTTTGTCTGTTCTTGATGAAAGTAGCGTGAGAGTGTGAGGGGAGGAAACCGGGTTTGAGCAAATAACTAGCCGTTTGAAGATTTTCTTTTTGTAAAAACCCATTTATAGAAGTGATCTTTAGGGTGTGATGGATGATATGTAAATTAGTCAATACATATCTGACGTTTCTATGTAGATGTGCTTGTCCACTTTTGCAAATAATGGTAACTACAATCATGGATATTATTACTGATGCTACTGGAAATGAATCACTCTCAATCGCCACTTTCTTTTTTTTTTTTAAAAAGAAAAAAAAGCATTTGTTATTTTTACTCGTTTCCTTACAATTTAGATTGAAATAATGATTTCTATAGATCAATGGGATGATTTGGTGTTTCCAGATAACGTTAGCTTACAAAGAACTGTTAACGATGTGCTAGAAAATTTTCGCCAAGCGAAAGAAACGATTTCCAATATTCAAATTAGAGACGAGATTTCAAATTCATCAACTAAATTATTTGATGAATTTGATATCGAAATCTTAAACAATACGCTTAATGATAGAAGTAACGAGTTGAATGGATTAATCGAAAAAAAGGCCAACGAGTCTTTAAGAATGTCAATGTACATTAAAGACCTTGCGGAATATTTCAAGGTGATCTCCCAAAAAAATACTAGTGTAGATGTTATATTGGAAACATTGTCAACATCATTGGATTTAGCAAAAGAAAGGAAATCCATCGCAGAAAAATTAAAGGATGGTTTCAATCAATTTATCATTCCAGGCTCCAATTACTTTGGTATTGCTATCGCTGACCCGCCTATTAACAACAAAGAGTTCAAAAGATCGAGAAGAAAAGCGACTTCTTTTAATATAATTTTATTACTATGCGCATTAATTATCTTTGCTATAGCTTATATTTCTCCTATTTACATTGACAACCCAATATCTAAATTTGGAGACTTCGGTAATACAACATCGATTGGAAATAAAGGTTTCAATAATACATCACCGACTGAAAATGAAGGCAGTGGCGATAAAACTGATAAGAGTGGTATTCCACATAATGTAACTGAAAACTGGATAAAAAATTGGGCCAATACTTTCCTCTTCTATATTAAATCTAAATTTGAAGGCAGTAATACTACAACACAGGCTGGGAATGAAGGTAATGACAATACAGTGACTGGGAATGAAGGTAATGGCAATATAAATGGTGAAAAAGAAACTCACAATGATACAAAACCAACTGAGGCTGAAAGCTGTACGAAGAAAAAAAGTCGGTACGGTAATTTCCTTGGCAAACCTGAATTTGAAGGCAGTAATACTACAACACAGACTGGGAATGAAGGTCGTGCAAATACAAAGGATGACAAAGAAACTCCCCCTGATGACGTAAAACCAACTAAAACTGAAAACTGTACGAAGAAAGAAGAAATAGAAACCCTCCCTAATGACATAAAACCAACTGAAACTAAAGGCCATGACAATAATACATCTCAAGTCAATAATGTTAATTATAGCAATAACTTTATTATAATCATTATTGGTGTCGTAGTTGTAACTTTATTGTTGAAGAAAGTTAATGAATTATCTCAAGAGAATACAACAGATCAATCCACTGAAGAAAAGAAAGAAAAAGAAAAATTGTTACGATGTAATGAAATTATTAACAACAAGTTACCGGCTATCGCCACAAACGCAGACATTTTATACCAATTTTGGGAACAAATTATTCCAATTCTTGAATCACATATTGAGGCTCTAGAATCAGTAAACGGACAGACGGATATCAAGTTACCCCAACTTTATGTAAGAATAAAAGAAAAATGGTTAGAAGAAGAAAATAATTGCAAATCAAGTTACTATGCGTTAAAAAATAGCGTGGCGAAAAATGGTCTAATGTTTAATGAAACAAATAATTCAAATTAATAAAAAAAAAAAGCTTTTAAAACTATACTTTATAATCAAATATATTAATAAAATTAATCTGCCAATTTAAGTATCTATGTGTGTTTCGTGATCATACATTAATTCCCAATGTTGTAATGCAATACGGCGAGATTGTTTCTGCAGTCTCATAGTCAACTGAATTATTATCCAAGAGAGGTTTTTTTTTTTTAATTTTAGTAGGGCCAGCTATCTCTTCTGAATCACATTTCAGTCTGTCTATTGTAAAAAGTAGTAGACGACCCGTGGTATTCCGTTAGGCGAAACATAGTAACCTAAAACGAAAATAAATTTCAGTAAAAAAAATTTAATTGCTTAAATGATTATTATATTTCTAAAAATTATTCACTAATCCAAAAGCTATTGTAAAAAAAAAATCTGAATTTTTAAGTAAAATTCAAATTAGCCAATCAGAACTTTGTATCCAAACATTCCACCCTTAAAACTTTTAATTATAAAATTTCAACACGATTTAAGCAAAATATGATAATTAGTCAATGAAAAGTTATACATCATATAATACCTAGAGAGATCAGCGATAGCTAATGATTTTCTGCTACAAAGTAATAACACCAGTTCCCAGATGATACTGTTGTATGTCTCATACCTGTGTGCATGAATGGACAAGCTTTATGGTGATACCAACGGAGAAAATGAAATAAATCGATCTAGTTGGTTCAAATGATATGTATTTCAAAGAAAAGGTTCCAAAGAGATAACCTGCCAAGAGGTGTTTTTGCATGACATTCATTAACCGTATAGCAATCATAAAGGGAAGGGTTAAATACATACATCACAATACAGATAAGAAACGTCTCAAAGCAATAACGCTCTGACGAAATATATTTATCGCCAGACGAAAAGAATAAAACGTTCTGACGAGAATTGTTACGGCGCAGATCAATTACTTTAAAATTCTAATCGATATAACTTTTCAGTAATTCATATTTGTTGGTCTCTATAAATTTACATACAGTTTCTGTACTGTGTTTACTGATTATATTAATATAGTCGTTTTGCACGGATAAAAAAATATGTCTCCATTTTAGTTAAATAAAGGTAAATTTTTATAAAATGGCATATTTTACAAACATTTAATCATTGTTTTGTTACCAGTGTTATAAGGCAGGGATTAAAAGTTCAATGATTGTTAGATATTCATCATTCATTAGCTAGGATTGGTTCTGAAGGATATGATATAAATAATCTATTCCGTGTTTTATAGGTGTTGTAGCTTGACATTAATTCAGTTGAATAGTGAGATTATGGTACTGCGTTGGGCCAAGGATCGTTAACGAAATGTTCACTTTTACTTCTAGATGTCCTGGATAGTCTAATAGTTTGACAAGCAACCCTTGTCAGTACTTGTCGTGATTAATCCAATAAGCATTCAAGCAATTTGCAATTTGTCGTCATCAATAAACAAAAGAAACGAGGGCTTTGGATTTCAGCCCAGGATAAACGACTGTATACGATTAAACAGATTAGTATTTGTCATAAGATTGTCATCCTCTGGGTTTGAGTAGATATCTAGTAAGTAATACGTGCCAAACAAGTAAATCGTGCCGAATACTAGCCACTTTATGGGATGGGTCGAAAATTGTATCAATTAATATCGTAAAAAAATCGTTACATTTTCATTTATTGGCAATAGTTGGTTTATCAAAAACAAAAGGTAGGTTTCTTCCTAACCATTATTGATACGAGCTTTCCTACATATTCTGACAACATGGCTTTGAATTAATGATACCTGAAGAAAATGCTTTGTGAGTGGGAAATGATTTCGTCTTATTTGGCGAAATGACGAATTAAATATTGTAATAATAAAATTTTCAATGTATATGTTCGTTAAACTTTTTATTGTAATAGTAGAAAAGTTTTTTAAAAAAATTTTTGTTGCACGAAATTAGTCTCAAATTTCTTTATGTAACAAAATTTGGAATAGCTAAGGCTCAGCCAACTTTTAGTCTAAGAAAAAACTAATTTTGAAGCTTGAGTAATGAACAATAAAACTTATCAGTTAACTTTTTTAAAAAATTTTTATTTTAGTATTTTGAAGCTGCTATAAGCAACTGCTGTAGGTCGATATAGATTGACTTAATTATTTCAGTCTATTTACAACAACAACCCGACATTGCATTCTTATCCTTCATCTTGGTGCAGGCACGCAACTGGGTAGTGAAATTTAAATTTACCAAAGCAAAAATTGGATCAACCCTTGCAGAGATTGAAGGTATTCCAGCTCGATCATATTTGTCTTTATACATGTAGCTTGGTGCAATAGATGAAGAGATGAATGATGTTAATAAAAAGAAGCCAAAACTTGGAGAGATGAGGCTCGAGAAAAAAATCCCAGATGGCTCTTATCTTTTCGGATTATCCGCTGAAATTTATCCATTCCCCTCAAACATTGGCCCAAAACCTCCACCGTCGCTAACGGGATCAGAAAGTGCATTTTACCAACAGATTAACCTCATTTATATACTAAGTCAATTATTGGGATCCTATCAAAAGTACCTCAAGTGGAAATGATAAAAAAACGAGCTTGCAATGTCACATTTACAATATAGAACAACCGGTTGTTAGAACAAAATGATTTTTCTAAGATTAAGGCATATCGATTATTCTGATGTTAGCTATATTTATAATTAAAATATTATAGTTAAATTTATGATATAATGTGTAAAGTTGTCTATCCAAATTAAATCCCGTGACATTAATTTCGCTATTTGAAAGTCAATTTTCCGTCTTTGCCAATCACATCACCTAAAATTTCTTCGCTTGAAAGAATATTATCATCAGATTGTATGGAATTTTTACATAAACATTATAGTGGAATTCATGTATAACAAACAAAATGACAATCTTTTCAAAGCCAATAATTATATGGTACCAAACACAAGGTTGAATCCCTTATTATATAAATTACATCTTCATCTAATCCATCAATAAATGATGATAAAAGGCAGTGAGGTAGAGATTAAAATTATTTATTTCTTAGTGTTAATGATTGAATCAATCACACAAGTGGTAGTCAATTTAAATCATTGTTTTAAACAATTTATTTGAAATAAAATTATTCAAAAGATTTTTTTTTTTTAATATTGTAAAATTTTTTTTGTTACATCAACTTCTATATACTTTAAACTTCCTTTACTTCCTATTTTGATAAAAATAAATTTAAACGTTTGCTTGTTTGTTTTTTTTATGGTGCACCTAGTCCCACAACTTGCTGTGCCACAACAACATTTTGAGGGGAAAATTTCAAAATTTGGTTTGTCACGTGATATTTTCAAGACATTTCATAAATAGTAAAATCGACAGTATTATGTTACCTAATATGGATATGATCTTCAACTAAAACCTTACGCAAAATGCCACATGACAAAAGTACATAAATTTATATTATAAATGGCTTAGGTTTTGGCGAATAAAAAACAAACGTCAGCCAAAAATTTTTTTTTTTAAAAAAATTAGTATTCTGTTGGCCACACGTTATTAGAAATTCATGCTTCAATTCTTCTTTGGCATACTTTCAATAAGACTATGTAACCCACTCTGAAGGAATTTGAGACTTTCATTGCAACCTCTAACTCCCAACTCTGTTATGTTTTTTGGGCGACCACTTCTTGGTGCACTTTTTAAATTTTCCGCATTCTCATAATGTTTGATAGTGTCATGAACTGTAGACTTTGGAATATTAAGTGCCTTTGCGATTTTTGCAAGAGAACTACCGCCTATTCTTAGATCTAAAATTTTCCTCGCTCAGCTTCAGTTAATTAATTTTTCCCATTTTTAAAAATTAAAAAAGATTGTAAAAAAATTTTTTTTGATTAAATCAATTTTATTGGTATCAGCTTATTTTTAATAATAAAGCTTTCACGCGTGACAAGAACATAAAGTTTTAGTCATCTATTTATGAGGACCTAAACTACAAACTATGAAATTGTTATTAAATTTTATAATATAAAATTTTGAGAAACATAAAATTTTTAAAAAATCCTCGTGATTTATTTAGTAATCGCTTTTTTTTAAACTAAGAATCATAAAAAAAAAAGATAGTAAAATGTGATTTTATATGTAGAGTTGCCAAAACCTAAGCCATATATGATATAAATTTATGAACTTTCATTATGTGGTATTTTGCGTAATTATTAAAAAACCTCATACAGGTACTTTTTGGAGGGTAGTGTATATTAATAGATGATGGTGGTGGTGGTGTGGTCGTTGTTGAGACATTTTCAAAGATTTTAATTTAAAAAATTTTAATCGTGTAGGATTGTAGGAATTTATTAAAATAAAATTTATACAGATTTTTGGAATTTGATAATTCATTGTTCGTGTTATCTTTTTATTTTAATTAAACAATTTTATTATTGTCTCTCACATTCATATTTTTTATAAAATACTCTTTAATATTAACTAAACAATTTTATTATTGTTGTTCGCTTCCATATTTTATAAAATGTTCTTTTAATATTAATTAAACAATTTTATTATTTTTATCTTTTTGATTTTTAAAATCATATCACGTGAATTGGTTGTACCAATAAGTTCGTTGTCAGTGTATAAAATTCAATGTGTGGGTGTAACATCATACATTAGAACCGAAATTTATAAAATTTGAAAACCGATGGAAATTCGCTGAAACAAAACGAATTCAATGTGTTACGTTACACATATCAATTCAAAATAGGGTAAAGCTGAAAGTTGAATTGTTTTTGATATATGTAACGTGATACGTTCCATCACCACATAATAATAAATAGTAGTTGGAACAGTCTCGGAAACTTCTAAATGAAACAATCAATATCAGGTATTATATTCATGTTTTTTTAATTAATGTCAATCAGAATTTTTATTCATTCATGATTTTTTATATATATTAAGTTTATACAGGGGTCTATATAACAAATTTACTAATAACATTTTTTTTTATTAACACTATATACAGTATATATTAAATTTGTATCATGGAATTTTTAAAAAAATATTCTTTTTTATTACATTAAAAAAAAAAAAAGTTTTTGCACATTGTCTCTTTTTAAAAATATTTACTAATTGATCATAATATATATAGAACGACTTTAAAAAAAAATTTTATGTAAATTTTACTCACTCTTCATTGGACATAAAAAATTTATCTTAAAAATCTTGGATATATTTTTTACAATTGATTTGTCTAGAACTTCAATCAGAAGTTTCCAGGGCCCTGTTAGAATTGTTGGAATGTTCTAATGCTCCAATTTCATTGGAAGTTCCACAACAACCAGGGTCCCGTTAGAATTGTTGGAATGTTCTAATGCTCCAATTTCATTGGAAGTTCCACAACAAATAAGCCACAATTAAAAAAGCAGGCCGCAATTAAGTCGCAACCAACAAAAGTTTCTTGAATCAGATAGTTATATGCATTTCAGTTAATTGCTACGCATAAAAACAACAGAGAGAATGAGAGATTGAGCTATAATATATATCAATATAAAATTTTTTAATTTTTTTTTTTTAATTTTTTGTCATGACCAAAGATGATTCATATAAAAAAAATTAATCCTTATATTCCTATTTATGTAAAATTCAAGTGTTTTTTTTAATGCAAATACTTTAATAGTGATATAAACTATTTTGCCTCTTCCGGGGAATTTGAACAGATGTTAATCACAGTGAATTTAGCGAAATTTCATTAGGTGCAGCAAAAATATCATGAACAAATGTTTTACAAATTATAATAGTATCAAACCCAATAAAGGGTAAATTATCGAAAGAGCTTGACTTAGAGAGTGAGGATACTTCAAAAAAGAAAGTGACTTAATAAAAGAGAGAGAGAATTGGCACATGCAAATGAAAACAAATCGTAATGATAATATAATTGCTATTATTTAGAAAACGAAATAATCGGGAATTGTCGCTTCTGCTTATGAGTCAAACGCTATCCCCAAGAAGATGATTGATGGGCAAGTTTATTGCCATAATTAGTGCAATTATGGAGAGCTTAGGGATTATAATGTGGTGTAACAAAATTTCTATTATGCGTGGCAAAATTCTTTTTCGTTTATTATATATTATTATTATCATTATCATTATTAATAATCGTGTAGTACAAGACCCAGATGTTGTTTTTCCATATTTCAAAATGACGCATTCCTTTTGATAAAAAATGGTCATGAGAAAACAAGTGTGTCACAATATACAGAGAATTCATTATAATAATTATAATAGCTTAAACATCCGTAAAGTGTAACATTTTAAAAGGAATAAAATTTGCACACGACAAACTTGGCGCATATTCATGCACGCAAGAAATCTTTAATAACATTTAGAAAATATGCAGATTAAATATTTATTTATTTTTTAAAAAAGTTTCATTCAAGTCAAATCAAGTATGTGTAACATACATACATAAACAAATCATGTATTTAGATTTTACCTTGAAAAATATTGTAATTATAATAATAATGAGAATCTAATTGACGACGATTGCAACGACATGGTTTTTTCTCTGTGGTTGTTGTTCTGTCTATATTAATGTACAAAATGACACTTATTACCCAAACTTGGAATTAACAATGCTTTTTCAATTGAAAAATTTTTTTTGCACATGTGTTAGATAAATTATCATTGAATCGAAAAAAAATTCCAGGATTTTATTGAAAAAATAAACGTGAAATTTTCCGGAATTGATAAAAAGGTTCTTGTTTTACAAAAAATAAATAAATAAATCATCCATCTATCTTTCCTGATTAACTATGCGAAGTAATAAATAATCTTACAAATAAATATAAATCCCGTAAAATGGATAATATAAACAATTAATAAATCCATATTTGGGATAAACATGTAGTAATTAAAAACGATCACTGAGGGACGTAATCAGATTTACAAATGTAGATATGTTATTCGTATTTACATATAATTCGTGCATGGATTAAAAGAAGCAGAAGAAGTTTTCCTTTTCGTTTAATTGGTTTATAGTGCGTTACTGAGAAAAGATCTAAAATTAGAAAATAATAAAGAAAATGTTAAGATCACACCTGTGTTAACATTTTATCAACTTTAAAAATGACATGTGACTATATGCGCTTTTTTATATTATTCTTTATTTAATATGTGTAAGAAGTAGCCGAATCAATGTCCTCCAAAAGATTATCAAAGTTTTATTGTTTGATTGGTTGATACAAATAGATCAGTTAACTGCAATTAGCCATCCATCCTTCTTAAATTATTAATAGATATCCCTACATTCGCAGTTTCCTTTGCACAAAGATGCGATGATAAATAAAACAAATTCTTTTTATAGCAAGTACTTGTTTTATTTGCTAGATTCGCATAAAAATCAATAGAACACGCGTTTAAATTTGATTTTTTTGGTCCGATCATCATCATTGTCAATTACACCAGTCATTATTGTAAAACAAAGAATTTATTGTTTATTAATAAATAATAAATAATAAATAAATGAAATGGTAATAATAACGCGTAATTTTGTTCGAGAAAAATTACGGATCAAATTATTAGTTACCAAAAAAGGAAAACTGATTGTAGAGGTAGATCCCAATGAAAACTGATTATATTAATATATATGGATTTTTTCGATGTGAATGTTGTTAGCTGCATGGATCGATTTCCTAAAATATAACATAAAATAATTTAAATAATTTAAAAAATGTGTGTCGGAGTACAGCTACCGAATTTTATAATTGCCTCGGTTGATGTAATAACAATAGCATTTTAAATCTCCGGAAGGTAACAATAAATAAACAAAACAAAAAAAAATAAATTAATAAACATTTTGAAATTTATTTTCTTTGTATAAAAATAGCAGAATTTTTGCCTTGGAAAAAAATTTTTTGTTTTAAAAAAAAAATATATTTTTATATAAATATACATACTGTGTGTGTATATATATATATACATATTAATATATCTGCCACTTTCTTTACCCGCTTTCTTCCTTTTTTTCAATCATTTATTTCCCTCTTTAAAAATATTGTAATAACAAAAATACATTAAAAATGACGAAAAATAAAAATAAAAAAAGTGAAAATTTAGACGATATATCAATCGAAGATATAGCAAATAGGTTAGTCCAAAGATTAGATAGGGGACATATTTTTCCACCGTATTATAACGATCCAGAATACTTTATACCAACCGTGTCCGGTAAAAAAAGTTTTCATAAACCCAAACGTCCACAAAACAGTTTCTTATTGTGTAGAAAGAATGTTCATAATGAAGCAAAAAGACAGGGTGCATGTAATATGAGAATTGTTAGTAAAGTCACTGGAATTTTGTGGAGAGATGCCTCACTCCAAGAGCGTCTGGTCTATGAAAGATTGGCAGATAGAGTAAACGAACTTTTTGATCAGAAATTCAACTCCTATTTCATTAAATATAATAACGATAACAATGTTAATAAGAATAATAACAACTATGTCAATAATAATGGTGATGGTGATGATGGAAATTTGTCATATACTAAGAACTCATTTACTTCAAATGATCATGTACAAGTCATAAACCACTCATCAATTGATAATTTGACTCTTCCTTTATTATCGCCATCATCAACATTCCAATCAGCTTCGTCGTTATCTCCTTTTCCACCTTTTTCTACATCAACGTCTTACTCTCCTTATTACAACAGGAGATCTGCCCCACCTTGTCCAAAAACTTCGACTCCATTTTCAATTTCGATTCCAACACCGACAATAACACCTTCACGAACTCCAGAAACAACTCCTACTCCTACGTCAGAAATAGCTCAAGAAGGATTAGAATTATTTCCATCATTAGCAACAACTCTGGCAACAATGCCGACGGCAATAAAAGTGGTACCACCGGAAACAGGACAATCATTACTTCAAGATATGACGACAGCAACGACGACGACAACAACGACGACGACGACAACAACAATCGATAATAACATTGTTTATAATAATTTTGATGATTATAATGATTATAATTATTATAACAACATTTTGCCGCTTCTAAATATTGAAAACCATTCACTGATTGACGATACTGAATTATTCAATCTTTATCTATTAAGTTTATTTCAACAACCGTAATAATCAATATGTATCTATTTTACTAATAATTCACTAATAATTTACTACTACTAATGATAATAATAATAATCATAATTATATTCATTAAAAATATATATTTCAAGGTTGAAAATTTTCTATACACTTATTATTATAATATATTATATATTAAGATTACGCTATGTATTTATAAATTACATTTATGCATCTATAGTAAAAACTTTATAAACCAAATTTTTAAAAATTTTTGATTAAATATTTCACCAGTATGTATTCTGCTAATTCGGCCCTCCTGTTGGGGTAAAGTGTCGATGGATCATATTTGATTCATGCATGATGTTATGGAATTAATGGGGATTTTAATATTTCAACTCACCTCGTTTTATACTTTCACTCGTCATCTAAAAAACTTGACTCCCGTTCTTTATTACTCGTCAAGAAACAACAAAGTATTTCAATTGTTCAATTGTTCTAAAAAAATAAAGATAAAACGCAACCAAATACTATTCGGGAATCAGTTATTACCACACTCGAATTCTATTGATGATACTAATCATTCTTTGTAAATCAATCCCATTACTTAATCTTAATATAATATTAAACATAATATTCCATTATCTCTAGGTAAAAATAATCTTGTAATTGCTATCAAAAAAAAAAAAAAAAACCAAATTAATCGTTAATTCAATAAAAAATTAATATACAGGTAAATATTTACCTGCAAGAAAATTATGGATTGCTAGCATTGAAGAAGGAAACTGTACAAACATATTGTGTCGGTAGTATTATCATATTGTTGAACAAAATACGAGTTTTGACTATGAATTGTTGGAATCATTGTCGTTGAAATCAGCGTATAATTCTCCTGACTTGGTTTCAATAAAAATGAAAAATCCATAAAACCGTAATTAGGTTGCAACCCCCAATTTTATATGGCGCAACTATGGTTTCAAAAAAAGTCTTATAATCTGACCATACTTTCAAATTAGCACCCTTCCAAACCCCCCATCTGGTACTTTGGCGCCATTTTGAATAAGTAGTTACCATGGCATTTGTTAAAGATAAGTCAAATTCTTGTATAAAATCCGTTCTTGAGAATCTCAAAAAATGCTACCAATTATTAAATAAAAATGTCAAATAATGATATATTTTTAATAAAAATAGGACAAAAATATAAAAATATAAAATCTTTTACAATGATTCGTGAATTGAGACATATTCCGAGGGATATTGCTGATCCATCTCCTTCATTGTAAATATTCCAAATCTTCACAATTGTCTCTTATTGAATAATAATAAAGTAATTCTTCTAAACATTCAACGTCAGTTAGATTGCCATTAACATAGAGGGTTTTAGGTGTCCTTCCACTAATTTTAATGAAATCCGATGATAGCTCACAACAATAAATATTTAAATAATAATAAAGATATTCAATTTTTGGGGAAAAGCACGATTTTAAATATTTCGTAATCTAATGTCATGCTTTTTAAATTTTGAAATGTTGGAACAATCAAAGAATTTGTTTTGTTTTCTCCAAATCTTTCATAACTAATTATAGATTTTGAATGAAGTAATATTGTATCCTTGAGATTATCTGATAATATTATTTCAAAGTGTGAAATAAGAACTAATTTTTTATTTGATGTTTTGCTTTTAATTAGTTGAACAATGATATAACTACTACTAACATTAAAAACTATTCGTAAAACTTGAATATTTTTATAATCTATCAACAAATTCACTACAATAATCAAAACCACAAGAAAATTCATAAAGGTTTCGAAAAAATGCATCAAAACTATGACAGTTAATCAACTCTTCGCGTGCTTAAGTCTCTTCACATGCTAAATTAGTGTATCTAAGCTTTCTTATAATCTAAAGTAAGTTTTAGTAACCTTTTTCGTATTGATTTTCATTGCAGCCTTTTAATTCGTGACTTCATTTAAAAATCAAAACGATAAAATTCTAATTCAGTTGTAAATTTAGCATAATTGTGTAAAGGTGGTTCCTCTAATAATTCAAAATTTAATTCGATCTCGTTTTCCGCTAAGAAATCCTTATCTTCTGTTAGCAAGCAAGCAATTAATTAATATGTTGGTGCTGCAATGGAATTGTTTTCTCATAAATATGGGTTAATGATATTATGCAAGAATGTAGTGTTTTATAATTTTTATGATTAATCACTTAAAAGCTCTGATGGTACATTTATAAACACTTTTTATTTAATTATCCCTTAATTCATTCGTGATCCTTTTTAGGATTTTGATGGTGATCGGCGGGGTGCATTTGCAACATTTTATACAGCAAAAATCGTCAAGTTCGTTATTGCATTTTGTAGAACAAACATTTGGATAAACGTTTTTTTTTGCAGAGATTATGGGTGTTGGTCTGTTCCAACTTTTTTTATTCCTTTTTTTTTATTAATTATTCTGCGCCTTTTAGTTCTATAATTATTGTTACTAACTAATTTCCGCTTTTTGTTCCTTAACTAAATTACTACGTAATTATGGACAACTGAAAAAGCTGACAAAAAATGTGAAAAAAGTAGTATATACACACAAATGAAATTATTATTCATAAGATTTTAATTATGAATACATATTCGAATATTCAATGAAATATCCATCCAGTCACGCATGAATATTCGGTACTACATACCAAATTAGGTATGCTAAAAATATGGCCATCCAATCGTGTTTCGGGCATGTGACCTAACTCTTTCGTGTTTTTAATATATATTTTTTATATTCGAATTTTGTTTATTTCATATAAATTAATTTTAAAAGAAAGATTAATGTCACTTTTTGACAAAGTGAAAGAACAATCAATCAACCGTTTAATTAAAATATTTCGGGTCTTGTTTATAAAAGTAGAGTTTCTATTCGTAATACAAATTACTATTCGAATTATTCGTTTTTTTGTTTTATTAGAATTACTCATTTGATTCATTACTCGTTTTGTTTGTTTTATTTGTTTTATTCGCTTTATTTGTTTTATCAAATTATTCGTTTTATTCATTAAAAATTATTATTGTTTAAACATTGTGCATGATTAATTATTAAGATTATCATTGCTTATTTGGTATGTAGTACCGAATATTCATGTGTGACCGAATATTCATAAAATTCAAAAATATTCGAATTTTTTATTTTTGATTGTTCAATTCTAAAATATATGTATACTTATTATGTACGTTTTTGTGTAATTAATACGTTTAGGGTGCTCGATTCTAGTGATGTTAGCCGGCTAAAAAAATTTCTCTTGACATTCATTTTTACGTCTGGAATTTTAACGCAGAATTCAATGGCATAGACATTTAGTTGAGATGGGTCACCTACATTACTTAGAATGACAAAAAACCATACATTTACTCAAAAAATAAAATACAATACTTCATAACAGGATAAAAGTCATAGAGTTTCTATTCGTAATACAAATTCTTATTTTTACTCAAATTATTATTATTATTCGTTCTATTCGAATTATTATTATTATTCGTTCTATTCGAATTATTATTATTATTCGTTCTATTCAAATTATTATTATTTGTTTTATTCGTTTTATTCGTTTATTCGAATAAAACTTTCAATGTAATTCGAACACTCAAATTCATAACGATAGTAGTAGTGATAATAATAATACCGGCAAGCTTAGTACGGTGAGGGTCACTCTAACACATCAAATTCTGTGCAAAATGTTTCAAATTCAAAAAAAAAAAGCAAAAATTTTTTTTATCACATTCATTACAAAAATGACATTTTTAATTCTTATCACGTGATTTTCCAAAAAATGCATTTATATGGTGCGGGACCTCTTTAAACCACCATTTACTGCGCCTCGTAGCCAAATTTCAAAAATTTTCAATTCATCTAAAAATGCAATAATATTTAACTCCACAATGTTACACGACATCAATTTTATTATTTTAAAGGTAAAAAATAATTTATATAAAATAATTTTAATTATTAATATTCAAACTTATTTATTCTTAAATATGAAATAATTTTGGATCTCACATCCTCATCATCTAATATACTGCTTCCAATTAAATGTTACCCACGTCTAGATTTAGGAACATCACCATATTCTAAAAAAGTCTTTGACCAGCTTCTTATACATCTTGAAAACCACTTGCCTTTCTTCATAAGATCAGAAACTATTTCACTAGCTTCAATTTTTGCATATCCTTTATTTCTTAAACTAAGGTATTTTTGAACAGCTTTCAAATGTACTCTATATCCTGGAGACAAATTTTCTGCACTTAATTTTAATTCAATTTTGTTTATAGCTAAGCTTGAGTAATTTTCCTTTTCATGATTAACTTCATCATCAACTGTATTATTAAAAGAAAAGAAACTATCTAATGTTTGTCCATTTTTTTCAGCATCTTTCTTTGCTTCAATTTTTTTTCTGTATTTAGTTGTTCTAGAACTACCTAAGTAAACCAAAGGGCAATTAGATGATGATGATGATGATATCACATTTTCTATATTATTTGACAAAACATCATAAAGGGACTCAGCATTTTTTTCAATTTCATTATCAAACCACTCAAAATCCTCATCAATTTCAATTTCTAAATATCCTCCAACTTCATTACTTGAATCTCCTTTAACCACATTATTTGATAATTCCTCAACACCTAAATTCTCTACATCACTATCATTATTGAAAGCTTCAATATTTACTAAATTATTTTTATTTGATGTTTTGGTTTTCTTAGCAGCTGCAAGTTCTTTACATAATTTAATTTTTCTTTTAAGTTTTGGCATTGCTTTGTATATATATAAAAAAATATGAAGGTTTATTATTTATTGAAGAATGTACAAACTTTAATTTACGTGATTTTAAATTTACGCGATTTTTATACGTAGGTCACATGTTGTGACCGGAATTAGAAAATTTTGCCATGTATAACATAAGTTGGGCCAAAACTATATGTTTCAAATTTGGAAAATTTTATAACATAAAAATCACATGATTTTTAAAAGCTAATAACTCCAGAACCAATAATTTTTTTAAAAATATCTAGACGATAGATTGTAGAACTAGTCAAAAGCTATCAAATATCGTCTCTAATTTTTTTCAGACAAGCACACAATATTTTCTTTATAGGTTTTAAAGTTGGTCAATTTTTATTTGATGTGTTAGTGTGACCCGCACTATAACTGGGATTTATTAAGTTCTTAGCCGGTTAAGGTTTTTCTATCGGCTAACATCACTACCCGATTCTTCTGCCCAAGTGCTGTGATTCATTATTTCAATTCTTCTTTCTGAAGAACTTTTATTCATGACAGTGTTTTCGCTTGTATCAAAATTGGTTTAAATTTACAATATCTTCAATTCCTAATATACCTAAATTTTCATTTTCATCCAAATAATCCAAATGAGCATATTATCTGATTTATTATCATATGAAATTCATTTTCTATTTCACCTAAATTCATCATAGATAAATGCAATTTAAAGTAGTTTCTCTCTTTCTGCAATATCTTTTCTAAATTCTTTTTTTGCATGACTAACATAATAAGAATGAATTTTGGCTAAAATTTCAATCATATATGTAGATAACCAGCTCCTTCTTTTCCCATAAAACCATTGTAAAATAGAAAAAATTCGTTCAGCACTAGCTGTATGTGGAGTAACAGAAAATAACTTGATTGCCAATTTTTGCAAGTGATTATAATCGTCTTCACATGTAGACCACCAATTAATTGGGACTATCCAGTCTATATGGACATTTGAAGAATTAGAAGTTGCCAAAGAATTTGCTTTATCCAAAAAATCGTCATTTTGATATTTACGTAAAACAATTTCAAGATAAATTGGTTTATTTCAATTGGTGCATTTAGATATCTATTTGCTAAATGTTCTTGCATCAACTACGGGCTTCCTTTTATTCCATTATCATTAAATATATACAAGTGGAATCATACTTGCCAGCATATTTTTCTGTACCTTTATTAAAATGTGTCCAAACAATGTCAGGGGATCTTCTAGAACTCTTAGAATTTGACAAATAAAGACTTTGAGAATCAGAATTGCTTGACATAATTTAAAAGCAATATTTTTTTTTAATTTCTAGAAAATTTCGAATTCGATTTTGAAATAAATTTATTTCGCCATCATATCAATGTAAAGGTATTCGATACTAGAAAGTAGAAACGAGTAGTGATGTTAGCCGGCTAAAAACTCGAATAAATCCCAGTTGATGAAAAAGCTTTTCAGATGTGCCTGTATTATTATTAATTACTACTACGACTATCGTTATTATTACTATAATTATTATTATTATGATTTACTATTGTTATTGTAATATCTCGCCTTTAATTTAATGGTTCGAATAAGGTTTATTTGAATTATTTGTTTTATTCGTTATGAATTTGGGTATTTGAATTACATTGAAAGTTTATTCGAATAACGAATGAAACGAATAAAATGAATAATTCGAATAAAACGAATAAAACGAATAAAGTGAATAATAATAATTCGAATCAAAATAAGAATTTGTATTACGAATAGAAACTCCAACTATGACTTTTATCCTGTTATGATATATTGTATTTTGTTTTTTGAGCAAATGTATGTTTTTTGTCATTCAAAGTAATGACATCTCAACTAAATCTCTATGCCACTGAATCCTGCACTAAAATTCCAGACGTAAAAATGAATGTTAAAAGAAATTTTTTTAGCCGACTAAGCCGACAAATTTCTTGGCCGGAAAGGGCGCATCCTTTTGTAAACAAACATCCCAGTCACAAATGACCTTTATCTTGCAGCGTTTCGCTTCTTATGTTATTATTTGACACATATTTATTCTTAAATTCATAGGTATTAGTTAAATAAACTGCATCGCCTAGGTAATAATAATAATAATAATAATAATGAGAAGTCCTTTGGTTTTTCCGTTTAAATTTTTCTCTTTCTAAAAAATAATAATATTAAATCCAAGATATCGTACTTGTGTATCAAATTTAATAGAACAACACTCTCCATCTCCGTGTGCGATGAAACAATGATTTCTGATAGCAAAATGAATCAAAACCTGCTGTTGATGATTTAGGAAAAGAAGCTAGCAAATAAAGGACTCCAGCTACCAACGAATTTTTTGTAGGTCATGATTATCAAGATGTATCGCAATTCTATGTGGACAGGATGTTCGATCAAAAATTGGCAAAAAGGTTATAGGTAAGAGTCACGACATTCATCTACCAAAAGTGATTTTGACCTTGAAAATTTTCAATGTATTCTTAATTCTGTTAATTTTTTTAAATTTTCATTATTTCATTAGAATTTTACATGGGGAGTTCTCTAGCAAAAGGCACCTTAAGTTATAAAATTTTTAGAGTAACAATCCCTGCGAAAAAATTTCAAAGCTTGTATCTCATTTTTTACTAAATCATCAGGAACTGATTTTTTCATCAGTTATAATCCTTATATATTGTGCAAAAAACTCAATTTTTGTCAGAGGACACTTAAGGTACCTTTTGTTTGAGGACACCCATATGAATTCAGACAAAATAAAATTTTAAATTTAATAAAAATTTTTTTCCACCTCATAAAAAACCACCAAAATAATAAATAAATAAATATATACATGTTTATATTTGGCATAATCTTACTGTACAAAATACATATGGATAACCTCTTTGATACCAATTTCTAAATGTGCTTCTTGTTAATCGAGGGTGTGTTGCCCTGTATTTTTTTTTTCAAAAATAATAAAAATAATAAATATAATATACTTCAAATATATATAATATATAGTTCTCCTCACGACACGCACACGAACCAAGTTCTATATATATAATGTCTCGATCATACCAATATTATTTGATTCACGAGACAAGGCGAGCCAGTTCGTGCAAAGCTCTAATAATATATAATATATAAATGTAAATATATTTATATTGCTTACCATGAGCCACCCAAAACCACAACATGTTTACCATCAAAGAAATCTGCTGAATAACCAGGATAAAGTTTACTTTGTTTAAATCCTGGATACTTATCAAATTCGCTTGATGTCCATTCCCATCCAGATCCCAGCACTTGAATTGTATTGCTGTCATTTGGCACGTCAACTGGATGCCAATTCTTGAATCCTATGTTTGATAAATCCATTAGCAGTGATGACGATTTATATATTTTATAGAATGAATTTAATTCTCCCTCTGTGGGTAATCTCATTTTTTTCCATGCTGCGTATTTACATGCTTGATCTTGGCTCAACATAACTGGCCAATTCAGTGCTACATTCATTCTAACTGCTCCAAAAACTGTTCTAACTTCATATTCGAATGAAGACGGATCGATTGGAATCCACGATCCCGGATATTCTTTGTTAACTGTTGCCCTCATAAATGAGAGATATTCTCCATTAGTCACTGGTCTTGAATGAATTTTAAAAGATTCAATACTGACCTCTCTTCTAGGTGACTCATTATCCCATCCAAATGCACTACTCAAGTTGTACTGTTCATCATCATCATCATCTTTATATTCATCATCATCATGACCTACAGTAATAGTTTGCTTTGGAATCGTTACAAATTTAGCATCCGATGCAACGACTGCTTCTTTCCATTTTGGGATCACAACTCCTTTAGGCTGTAAAGTAAATGGTGATTGTACCAGCATATAAAGAATTGTCTCAAGATGCAAGGCCGTATGTTCAAATGTCATAAATAATACTCTTCCTAAACTCCTTTTCATTGTTTTTTTTTCATATACAGTGATAAGCCTTTGCTTAACTTTATCACAATATTCAATGATTTCCTCCAACTCTGGCCACTTATGTGGTGTTATTGAATGTGAATGACATTTGCTTGGGTCGTCAATGTCGGGGTCAATGCCCCTTTCAAAAATATCTGCAAAATATTCTGGCTCGGTATGTTTTTCTTTATGATATCTGGAAAGGTGAATGTCCAGAAATCCCGGAATATGTCCTAAATAAAATATAAATGGATGCCTAAGATGAATAGGTTTTTCGAGCAGTCTTTTTGGTGAGATCATAGTCATTGTTACTGTGTCCCATGACCTCCATAATTCTTCCCATTCATCTAGCGTCGGAATAGATTCTTGTGATGAGTCACCTCCACCACGACCAAAATAAAATGGCGGTTTATTTAGTAGATGAAGATCATATTGAGAGTTCCAATCCGTCCAACTTTCAACACGAGAAAGTTTCGCGTTGTGAAAAAGTTGGATAAGATTGTTTTTATCATATTTATATGAATATTCGATATGAATCAATTCATCTTTTTTCAAGTTTATTTCTTTTTCTTCCGCCCCTTCATTTGGAGTATATTTCAACGTTATATCTTTCTTAGATTTATAATAAGCTTCGTCTCTACCTTCACTCTCATTATATAAGGAATGATATTCAAAATCATCAGGATCAATAAAATTTTGTCCAAGAACAGCATTAACATGGTTTAAGCCATTAAGAATGAATTCTTTGGTATCACCTTTAGGTTCGATTTTATCAGGATCATTTTTTCTGTCAATACCAACTAAAAATAAATCACCCGGATTCATCGATCGATTTTGAAATCTTTGAATAAAATTTGCTCCATCTTCTCTACTAAAGTTTCCTATAGAAGAGCCTAACCATAAAATTGTTTTAGACAATTCACCTAAAGAACTAACAAAATTGATCCCATCCTCATAAGTCCCCAGGAGACCTATAAGTTTAATGTTTTTATATTTTCCAAGTGAATCTAAAAACTTTCCGAGTTGATATTCCACAAGACTAAGAGCATAATAGGTTATATTTTTTTTCTTTTTTTCCAATGAATCAAGAATCAATTTGGTCTTATTTAGTGATCTAATATATTAAAACATTATATTCTTTGATCAGCACTTGATTCCTAACAAGAAATAGTAAACAAAATATAATTTCATACTTAGGACCAAGTTCAATGATCACACTATTATCTTTAATGTAGTAATCTACAATATAATCTATTTTATTCTTTAATATTTCAACTTCCGCATTTGTTAGATAATATTCTTCGTTGTGGGTGATTTTATCAAATAACTGTAATCCTTTATTATCGTACAATAGAAAGGTAGGTATTGTTTTTTGGACATTTTCAGGTTTATTTAAACCATTAATAATTTCATCGATCGGATTAAATTTACGTTCATGAATATCGATAACTTGAAAATTTGTTTCGATAAATTGCAATGATTTCATTTTGATTTTTGATGAAGAATCTTTTTTTTGAATTCGTTCTTTTTTATAGCTTATAGACGATACCTTAAAAGTCAATTTATTATTTTATTTATTTATTAACAATTTAGGCATATGATTACCGCATTCCATCTTTTTTTTTTTGATTATAATAACTTTGGAAAATCGTATGACATCAAATCGTGTTGCACACACTATTATTTGTAATTAATGAACCCAAATTTCCGGCTTTAACCTGCTTCCTCAGGTCCCTGTTCGGCCATGTGATTCATAGGATTGTGTCATTATTCATGTGCTCAGAATTTTACCAAACCTTTTAATATAGCTTTTTCCATATAAAAATCAAATACACTGAAAACCGGTATGTTTTGACATGTGGAAAAATACTGTTCTCTGTATTACAGTGGACGACAGCAAAAGCCATCAAAGTGATACAAGAGGGGCGGCAAAATTTGAGTTTTAAAATTTATCACGTGTACAAATTTTAGCCAATAAAATTTAAGAAAATTATCATAATAAATCACATTAATATACGAAGAAAGTATTCAAACGCAGTTTTTCGAAAATTCCACAAAACCTTTATAATAACTATATGAAATTTATATTATTTGATAGCTCAGGTTCTTATAATTATGCATATAAATTTAATGTTTTTGTATTATCTAGATAGAGCTTTAATTCAAAGATTTGCTGATTGCGGTTTGAATCAACGATAGGCTTCATTAGCTTTTTGTAAGTTTTAAAGGAGTGATTTTATTTTTTTTTTTGTGCGATTTGGCATTTCAAACAGCGGCAAATTTTGAAAATTATATATAAAATATTACAAAATAGTGAAATTTTAAACCCTTATAATTTTTGCTATCAAGTTTAAAATAATACCCTGACTTCTAAATTTTAAAATTGATCACCCACCCCTGAGGAGTAGATACCATTTTTGGTAAGTCAATAATAGTGATGGCTCTTGCTGTCGCCCACTGGGAATACTCTTACCGCACTACCTCGGTCACACGAATCCCAACCCGGAACCCCCATGATTGGTAGAAAATAAGGAAATCTTATCTTAAAAAAACCTTGTAGTGTAACCGAGGTAGGTGTGGTAAAAGTTTTCCGCCCACTGTATCATTAAATTAATCGAGTTTCCGGGTCTTTTGTTGCACCAATTTATATAATTTATATTAATTTTTTTTTAATTATTAATAAATAATTTTATAAAAATACTTTAAAAAATACTTGAATACTTTAAAAATGTCTCAGGCTGTTGCTTCTTCTCCAGTACATAGTGTTTCGCCTCCCTTGCCACCCCAAATCCATTCTCCTGAATTACCCTTTCCAACAAAACTAACACTTGAGCTAAGAGGAACTCGGTTTGAAATTGATCGAGAAATGTTAATGAGTCTACCCGAAAGCATTCTTATTGTAATGTTTCCTAATGGACTTATGTTGAATAGAGCTCTAGATTATGAAGACGATGTAGCTGAGGACGATAATTCAGTCCATTCAATAGACATAGAGGACCAAATTGTTGATGTGGATTTTGATCCTTCCTGTTTAGAGTATATTTTAAATTTTTATAAAACAGCACAAGAAGCATTTTATTCTAACCAGGGAAGTACCTCTACAGCATTCCCACATAGTCCACAGAATCCACTTTTAAGTAAACAGGCGATAATTGTTTTAAGAGAAGAGTTGGACTATTTTACCATACCACCAAAATCCTCCCAAAAACATAATATATCGACAGAAGCAACAGGAAAAGGAACTTTGAACAATACAACAACAGAAACCACAGCTCCTAGTGGCACCAGCAGCATTACAGCCACAAATGAAACTAGTGATAGTGAGCAAGCAATTGATATTTTTGAATTAAAGACAGAGTGCGGTTCATATCTTCTTAATCAAAAAAAGATATTTACAGCGTTACAACGTAATATTAATAAAGAAAATAATGTAGCAGAACAGCATTTGATAGATATGTTATGTGTTTCAGGCTTTTCAAGAGATGATGAATGGGGATATCGTAATATTGAACCACTTAAGACGAGTATCGTTAGTATTGCATTAGTAATGCTTAAAACAACAGGACAGGGTAATCAAATGGCAACAGCACAAAAGTTGTTATTATTTTGGAGGAAACCGGCTGTATGTATTAAATTTTATAATGTTAATTTTAATTTGAAGTAACAAACTTTTTTTAAAAAAATATATTTGTTCTTTTATAGAGAAAATGCTGGTGGGATGGATTAGAAATTAAAGTTTTTGGTGATAGAGCCGTACCGATCCGATTATGGTGCAGACGTACATGGACTTTGGAATTGGCTTTGGTTTAATATTAAAGGTTTAATAATTTATACAATAAATATAATATGTATTATTTCTTATTACAAGATAGAACCAAAGTTATATATAATGACATTTTAAATATGCTAGCTAAACCATTTTTTTAATATTCTTTTGTCATTTAATTTTTCATTTATTTTCTCAATTTTTATTGTCATTTTTTTATTTTTTTCCCTCCTTTAATTGGGAACCTTTACCGTGTATTTTTTTTTCCCTAATAATAATACATGTTTTTTTTTGTGAATTAATTATATCGTAATCAAAAAAAAAGGGTTTGGTGGTGGTGGTGGTGGTTTTATTATTATGTTAGCAGCATTAGAACATTTATCATTATTATTATTATTAAGACCGTAGATAATTCTTACTTTAAATTAATTAAATTTATAACACTTCTTTTTTAATTTACATTTCCATCTTTGTATTTCTAATAATACTATGTGTTTAATACCAAAATTAATCTAGATTTATAATATATGGGAAGTTTTCTTTTTTTAAAAATAAATCAACTCAAGGATGAACTCTTTTAAAAGTGTAGTGACCATAAACCGGTTAAATTCTAAAGCTTCAACAAATGAAAAACATATATAATGAAATATAGTGAATAACTAATTATTTTGTTAAATTTCCCCGACTAGGAGAGACTCCCATTAGATCTTTCCGATGTTGTATAGGTTCTTAGAAGGGCGGTAAAAGTCGAGGGTAATATTGATGCACCAGCAATGGCAATGGCAGTTGCTGAATGAAAGTCCCAAGGCTTTGTGAAATGCATGGTGGGTTGATACATTCAACAACACCGTGTACTTTGACACTAGTTATTTTTAAACCTACAGGGCAAAATTGTATCATTAGAATTGTTGAACTATACTTGTTCTAAATATACTTGCTAAATAATTATTAATATTAGACCTTTTATGTCGCCAATGGATAGTATTATAGTCCTATTTGATAAAAAAAGAACTGAAATTTTTGATAACAAATTATTTATGTTCTTTTTGAATTATAAAGATAATACATGACTACCATCACTACATTCAAGATCCAAAGGTGATAACAAATATTCTTATCCTAGATCAAGGCTCCCAGCTATCAAATATCTGTCTATATATTATACAAGAAGACAGAATCTTTCTCCATCATCTCCATCATCATCAATATTAAAACAACGTGGATTTGACGACTACCCAAAAATCATAACTAAAAAAAGTTTTTAGAATTTAACAACGGCAACAAAAAACAATCTGAAAATTATAATCAAACCTCGTTGGAACCTTCCATTAGAATTGAGAAACCTCCACTGATGCTTATAGAATTAATTAATGTAAATAAAACGGTGAAAGGAATTTTTGGAAATGGTTACTTGAAATTTGGTCTAGAGATAAATTTAACTTGACAAATGATTCTAAATGTTTAACGAAAAAATATATAGGAATGGTTTAGAATTAATTAAACACATTCTAAAAAATAAAAATATGATACAATGGAAAGAAAGTCACCATCATTTATACCGCCATTACCATAATCATCATCAATATTATGGGATCAGACTAATACAATATTAATAGATGATTTACCACTTAAAGCCCATAACGCAATACATTTAAAAGAATTTATTTAATCGAGAGAATTATTTTGTGATAGAAATGATAGTGAAATATTGAATATTTATTTGAATATTAAAAATCACCATCATCCTTATGGTAGCAATTAAATATATTGAATCAGTAAGCGATAATACAAAAGTTTTATGAAGAAATAATTGAATTGGATTTAGATGAAGAAGGTTTATAACTATTTATTATTTAATTATAATAATTTTGCAAGATATTTTTTCATAATATATCTTTATTTTTGAATTTTGCAAAAAAAAAACGCGTTAAATTTTTTCATCATGTGATTTATTTCTTTCGCAAGGGGGAATTGAAAAAAAATTTTTTTTTGTAGAATTTACTTTTAACTCTTTAAAAATTAAATTTCATAATTAATAAATAAATAATGGCATCTGTACATGGTTGGGACCAAGGAAAAATTTACACTTCCTCTTTAAATTCTAACAATGGATCACAAACAAGGGATTCGCGTACTAGTCTTGAACTAAGGCTTTACAAGTTTGTTGATGAGTTTCGACTTGGTGACCACTTTATCTACAGGTCTTTACCTTATTTTATTCAAGATTAAGATTAAAAATTATTCACACACGCATACACATATATTTTTTTGTGTTTTATATTGATTATTACGCGTTTTTTATATTTAATACTTATATAAATTATCCAATATTAACATATATTTTTAATTATATATAGAGATGAAATAAAATTAAATGCATTAGCCAAAGAATATTATGTTGAGATTCAAATTGAACATCTTGAACTTCAAGATCGTGATTTGTTTGAAATATTTAAAAAGCACCCGTCTGAGATTATACCATTAGTAAAATATTAAAAATATATTTTTTGAATAAATTTCTAATGAAATAAATAAATAATTTATTATTGATAACATATTTTTAAAAGCTTGAATCTGCAATTAGAACACGTGCTCAAAGGACCTTGAATAGAGATGATATTCCTACGTTTCAAGCGTTACTTAAATATTCTCAAAAAGAGATTATTAATATGCGTCAATTGAGTGTAAGTTTTTTTTCCAAATTTAATTATGAAATATATTGTTTCCCAAATTAAAGCTTCGTTAATCAATCGATCATATAAATATTTTGTAGGCAAGTTCTATTTCTAATCTTGTCCGAATCTCTGGCATTGTAATAGCTGCTACAAATTTAACTTCTAAAGCAACACATATTCATATAATGTGTAAAACTTGTAGACATTCAAAAACACTTGTAGTTTCTGGTGGTTTTTCTGGAATCTCACTTCCTAGAGCTTGTGATGGGTAAAAACAAAGCAAAACCATTAAAATCTCCAAATTCTTTAGAAAAGTTAACTAATTAATTATTTTTTTTTTTGGTAAAAAAAAATAAAGTGATCAAACTGGAGTGGGTCCAAAGGATTGTGGTTTAGATCCATATGTTGTTTTGCATGATAAATGTTTATATGTAGATCAACAAGTATTGAAAGTTCAAGAATGTCCTGATCTACTTCCAGTTGGTGATTTACCACGTCACATAACAGTTCACGTTGACAGGTAAATAAAGAATAATAGTAGAACTTTTAAAATGATACAAGTTAATTATAATATAATAGTACATTAAAAAAATTTTATTGTTATTATTATTAATTATTTATTTTATTTTATTTTATTTTATTTAAAAAAGATATTTGACTGATAAAGTAGCACCAGGAAATCGTGTTAATATCTTGGGAATTTATGATATTTATCAAAACTCTTCTGCAAAGGTATATTGTATTCGTAGATGATGAAAAACTTCAATTAATCTTAATCATATTTCCCTCAATTATTATTATCGTTATTGTTTATAGAGACAAAATCAAAGCATTGGCACAAGAATACCTTATGTAAGGGCACTTTCTATTGAATTTGATGAAAATCAAAGTGGAACAAATCATAATACATTTACACACTCAGAAGAAGAAGAAATGATTCAAATGTCTAGAAACCCAAATTTCTATAATATTTTTACTAGTAGTATCGCTCCATCAATTTACGGAAATGAAGGTAAAAACAAAAACAACAACAACAATAATAATGTTTACATCCAATTCATAAAAATAAATAAATACTTTTTTTCTAAAATAATAATTATTGTTACTGTTAGATATTAAGCGTGCCATAACTTGTTTGCTTTTTGGTGGAAGTAAAAAAATTTTAGAGGATGGTATGCGTCTTAGAGGAGATATTCATGTTTTGTTATTAGGTGATCCCGGTACAGCAAAAAGTCAATTCTTGAAATTTGTTGAAAAGGTTTTTATCAATTTCTCATAATCATAAATAAATAATAAATATAATAATAATCATTATTACATAACTAGATTGCTCCGGTTGCTGTGTATACTTCAGGTAAAGGAAGTAGCGCTGCAGGTTTAACAGCAGCCGTTATTCGTGATCCTTCAACTGTAAGTGTTTATTTTATTTTTTTTTTGGAATATACTTGTTTAAAGCAAATAAACGAAAATCAAAATATTTTTAGGGCGACTTTTATTTGGAAGCAGGCGCAATGGTTTTATCAGACGGTGGTGTAATTTGTATAGATGAATTTGATAAGATGCGAGAAGAAGATAGAGTAGCTATTCATGAGGCAATGGAACAACAGACTATATCTATTGCTAAAGCTGGTATAACCGCTGTTTTAAATACTCGTGCATCTGTTTTGGCTGCTGCTAATCCTCAATTTGGCCGTTATGATGACATGAAAACCCCTGGAGAGGTAATTTAACCCAAAATTTTGTTTTATTTTAGGGATATTCCTTTTTCATTATTATTGTATGCTAACTATGTATATTTTATATAATAATTAATCAGAATATTGATTTTCAAACCACTATTTTATCAAGATTTGATATGATTTTTATTGTTAGAGATGAATGTAATCAACAAAGAGACATGGTATTGAAAGAAAATACATTATATGTGTATATGTATATATATATATATATATTATTCATTATATTAAATGTTTGATATTTATTTACTTATTAAAAAAAGAATATAGCAAGGCATGTAATGAATGTACATATGCATAAGACTCAACCAGAAGCTGAAGGTGAATTGGAAATAGTGAAAATGAAAAAATATATAAGTTATGCTAAATTGTAAGTAATAAATGTAATCTTAAATTTACCAACGCCAATTCATTCTTCTAATAATATCATTCTTTTTATTATTAGAAAATGTGCACCACGACTTTCTGATGAAGCAATTGAAAAATTAAGTAATTATTTTGTTACAATCCGTGATGATGTAAAACGATTGGAACAAGATAGCAGAACGAGATCTTCAATACCAATTACTGTAAGGTAAACAGAAAATGGTCCGATAGTAATTAAATAACAATTAAATTTATTTATTTTTATTAATCAAAAAAAAAAATATATATAGACAATTAGAAGCTATTATTCGTATATCAGAATCTTTAGCAAAAGTTACATTATCACCATGTGTATCAGAAGAACATGTTGATGAAGCAATGCGATTATTTAAAAGTTCAACTGTGAATGCTTTACAAGTTGGTGAAGGTAGTAAATAATAATAATAATAAAGTATTTTTCTTTTGGGAAAGAATTGTTTATTAATTAAGATTTGTCTATTATTTATATTATAAAAGTTGAAGGAATGTCACATACGGAAATGTCTAGTCAGGTTCAAGTTGTCGAAAGAGAAATAATAAATCGACTTCCAATGGGTTCAAGAGCCTCCATACAACGATTAACAACTGACCTTGAAAACGTAAGTATTATCATTATTTATCATTTAATTATTTTAATATTGTTTAACTAATGTTTAAAATTTTTTTTCAAAGCATTTTCCTGCCGTAATAGTAAAACGCGCAATAGATATACTTATCAGAAGAGAAATGATTCAGTATGTTAATCGTGGTAGAATGATTTACAGAATAGGTGGATAGACATTCGTTAAATAATAAACCGATTAGTTTGTACATAAATTATGTGAAAAAATTTTTTTTATAATTAAATTCCCCTTTTATGCCCATGCAAGCTAGCTGCTAGAGAGTATGTATTATGCTGCCTACTACGTACATTAATGTTGCCATTTAGCCGTTTGACTGTTTTTGGCTGACAAATTTCCAAGAAATTACCAGTGTTTTTACAACTTTAAAGGAGAAAATTTATCAAGCTAAATGGGTATATCTATTAAATATTAATATTTAGAATGCTCTCAATTACCATCGTCAAAAATGTCAACAACTTGACATAAAAATCAGATTCGGACAGTATTAGAACATGACATTTTGTTTGCCCACTCTATGCCTCTTTCTATCTAGTATACCAACTTCTGTATTGAATACCACGAGTGCATTTTTCGTGCTTCTCCTCAATGTTAAATTCTGCTAAGTATTTCATTTGTTTGTAGTTCATTTGGTAACTCATTCATCTTGTGCTTACCCGCAAACTCAGGCGTCTTTTTATTCTCATATTATATTTTTAGCCTACTCGAACATTTTAGATGCGCGTGTGTCAGAATGAGCTGTGCGTCAAGATCAGTGGATAAATTTTATTTTTTTGTTTTACATGTTGAATGACAAACGATAAAGAAAAACGAAAAATATAAATGGTTTAAATAGTGGTCGTTTACACGGATCAAAGATAAGAAAACATTAAAAATTTTTTATCATTATTGCAAACTGTTTAATCCATCTCGATTAATCATCTCAACTGATTGACAGTGGTGTCTTCTCTATTGTTGTGTTCTGGATGAGATTGAGTTATTTGTCATCACGAAATTCCTAGTTAAATCTTAACAGAGTCACCAACACCACATCATGATTTTTATTTATTAAAATTGATCACACAAATTGTTTGTTTGTTAATAACATACTCACATGCTCCTTGCCATCCTCCACCACGAACCCTTCCCATGGTTTGAAATATTGCGTTGGAATCAAATGTCGATATTAAAGAATCTGGGCCCACGAACCCTTTGAATATAATTTGCTTAAATCCGCCGTCCCCCGCTGCATTCGATTGCTTTATTGTTTATATATATTAATTAATGTGTAAACAATGATATATGTTCACATAACAGATCATCCATTTTTTTTTAATATCCAGTTTAAGGCGAGTTGGGATAATGATGGATCAAAAAAAAAAAACAGAAACATTATCGATTATTCGTTCCGTATGGAATATCAACATTAACGCATCTTGCTGCTCTTGAAACATCAGATGATTTTCTTTAGCAAGGTGATACTAAAGTAGACTACAATGAATCTAAAGCTTTTAAATCATTAAAAAGAAAATTGAATTATCAAAGAATTAAAGACCAAACACAAACTGGCTTTACATCATTTCAAATAGATAATATTTATCGTGTATATTTGTATTTTAATCCAAATAAAATAGACTTTATCGATTGTCGATCCGATCGTCTCAACGAACTTTTTGCTACAACCAATTTAACATTAGATGGCCAGTCCCATCGTTTACGCGTTTAGAATTGATGCTTTCAAAAACATTTTTGAGGAACAATTCATGAGTTCCAACAGCAAGAGAAAGACCACAAATCACATCAGGGAGTCGGGTAAAAAAAGAAGAAGTGCAGACCATGACCCACAGGAAGAATCAAGCAAATAAAGAGCAACGAAACTGACACATACAATGAACGAAGTTGTCAGCAACAATAAAGATTATACGGATGCAGTAGAAAATTCGTACAACATTGAAAATGATAATAATGATTAGATTGTAGAACTAGTCAAAAGCTATCAAATATTGTCTCAATAATTTTCTGATAAGCATGCAATATTTTCTTTTTAGGTTTTAAAGTTGGTCAATTTTTATTTGATGGGTTATTGTGGTGTGCACTATACAAAATGGATTTGGATAATATAATAAATTGAATCAAAAATCATAATTTTGGTCCTGGGGTCCCAGAGGTTGATTTTCCTAGTCCAAGTTCCATATATTTATTTATAATATTATAATTTATTTATTACAAGGAGAATATATCTATTAATTCTTGGAAAAGCTTATAGCAATAATTAATAAAAATTTGTATATTCAAAATTGTAAGGTTGTGGGTGAAACTCCTCCAGAAATCAATCAGCAGAGTTTCTACAGATTACACATTAATTGTTAATTAGAGTTTCGGCAGAGTTTCGCATTTGGAGGTTTTGTAAATTGTCAGAGTTTTGACAAGGTATATACTAATTGTTCGACAGTCACTAAGAGGTTTCGGCAAGCAACATTAGACAGACACAGTATACTATATAACTCTTTCTTGCCTGACTCTTTCTCTTTAGCTTTTAAAAATTATATTTTATAGTCATTATCGGTTCTTTTGACCAAATTACACTGTTTATTTAAAAATCTTGAATCTTTTTAGACGTTTTATTTGTTGTAACACAAGATGTGTAACATGTAAATCATTAGAAAAATTTTCTTCGATTTTTTTTACACATCAATATGAGTGAATTTGAAAAGGTAAATTAATAATTTAACTCGTGAATTAATTTTATTGTTTTTTTTAATACTATTATATCTGATTTTGAAAAAAGGCTGTTATTATTGATGCTAAAGGACATTTATTAGGACGCTTAGCATCAATTGTGGCCAAACAAATTTTAACAGGTCAAA